TCCTGCATTTCGTTCACTGTGTTTCTCATCTAAATTATATGCATGATATACCTCTAGTCAGAAGCCGTCAGCTGTTGTGTCAAGTGAACGTTCTTAACCAACAAAATAAGTAAAACTTATCAATACTGTGTGACCGTAATAGTGAATCTATTATTAGTTACTGAAGATGTTGTAAGTTTGAAAGTATTGGTTAACAGAAACCAGGTACGTTCTCACATTGGTTAGATCGACTTGGTGTTTGCTCGTAGACTTTTCACACCTGTATTAATGCTAGTCATCTATGTGTAAGGTTCTTCAGTATTTAATTGAAATGTGTTTCTTTTGTTCTAGTTTCATTATGTTTAAAAAATAAGACATTTTATGTTACTTAAACTGATTTTATGACATTTTCGAATGAAAAAAAAGTAATTTTTAATAAAACACGTACATATCACGCGTGTGTAAGTTGTGTGCATGGGCGCACGCGCGCGCGTGTGTGTTTTGTACATTTTATATGTACATTTAAGCTATTACAAATGGCGATTATTTTGCATATCTTACGAAATTTACATTTGAAGTCACTATAACTATATATATATTTAGAAAGATTAACTTTTTTTATAAACTTCTTATACGTGGAGTGATCCGAGGTAAAAATATGACATTGTAAAAACTTATATTAAATATTTTTTATACCTCGTAATTGTTCCATAAATACGATCTTGTAATTCATAATCGATTTTTAATATTGTTAGATTTCTGTATTCTATCATGTATTTTGTATCATTTCACTAAATAATTCGTAAATTGAACATAATTTACACATTTGGATTCGAACATTCGATAAGGGAAATACCTATAGTCGTATAACAGTATGGTATTTGATTCATTATCTTGCCATCAAACTATACAAGTCAAGCAATAATAACCGTATATGCTAAAATATTTTGTGTTACATATTAGAGATTTCGAAGTATCAATTATTTATGCATATCATGACCGTGGAGAAATCGTAATTGATGACAACTACCTTAACAGACTACATAACTCCTTTTTTAGTGAAAGTAGTAAAGTAAATATATGTAAAAAATTAAACATAAAATGAATTTATAAGGAACATTATTCGTAAATTTGTGCGAATTATAAATTATCGAAATTAAGTAATAATATATGAAAAATTAATATATATGTATATATATATATACACATAAAACAACGAAATTTAGTTGTTGACTACACTGAACCATATTACCATTGCTGATAAGTAATTTATAATTTAAAAATTCTGTTTAAGGTCATTTTGACGTAACTTGAAGAAAAATAAGTGTTTTAAAAATCTGTTCTTTCCTTTTAAATACGATCGATATAATTACATATAATACTACACGTGCTATTTTATGACGTAAAATATAATCACTTTTAAACAGCATGTCTAATATGTTTGTACTATAATATAAATCACTTTAAATGTTAAACATTATAAGAAATTTATATATTATACGATCTCTGTGTAACACGTGATAACGGATCATAGAATAGTGATTTATATACTGAATTAATTCGAAAATTCTACTGTATTTAGCATTTTTCATTATTATCTTACTATTTAATGCAGATCGAGTTAGTTTATTCTTGTGAATGGAAGAATGGAACAGTAATGATCTGTAATACTGCTCAGAATGTTCAAAGAAAATGATAGCAGATCCGGAGGCTGTAGCGGCGCAGCTCCTCGACCACGAAGAATGCTGGCACGATTTTCTTTACGTCGATTATTATATTCGAGTCCACTTATCGGTCGACGAATTGTAAGAACAGCTAGTTCAAGCAACAGGAATGAATACCTAATTTAAAATAAACTTTGAAAAAAATACAAAATTATCTTTTTCTTGAATATTAATTATTTTTATAGCGAAAGACCCAGCTGGTGGCAAGATTGCAGATGTTGAAAAAGGAGAAGCCAGAGTAAGTAATGGTTCGAGCCATTTTCAATTTCAGAACATAGATCTACAACGTGCTTCCAGCAAAGGCTCTGTACTTTCTTCTGCCGGAAAGGTATTTATAGAATGTAAAAGTGTGGCGAAACTTTTAGGAAATATTTGATTTACATTAAATAGTTAATAATTTAATGTAATCAAAGTTCTAAATCAAATATTATTTCAGAGTAATGAAAATGGTTTAATGGAGTGTCCATTATGCTTTGCTGAATTACCAATGGAATTTTTTCCTATTGTTCAGTCTTGTCATCATCGCAGTTGTTATGATTGTTATCAACAATATCTCAAAGTTGAAATTTCTGAATCTAGAGTTAATATAGCATGTCCTGAATGCTCAGAACCACTACATCCAAATGGTAAAATACACTTTTTTAATAACGGAAATGTGAAATTTATTATTGTTACTGTTTTTACTAAATTTATTCTGTTATAGACATTCGAATGATTTTAAATGATCAAACACAATTGGAAAAATATGAAGATTTTATGGTACGACGAGTTCTTGCTGTGGAACCTGATGCAAGATGGTGTCCTGCTCCAAATTGTAGCTTTGCAGTTATTGCTAGTGGCTGTGCTTCTTGCCCAAAATTACGTTGTGAACGACCAGGATGCGATTCCTATTTTTGTTATCACTGTAAAGCACGTTGGCACCCTAATCAGACATGTGATGCTGCCAGAGCCCAACGTACTCAATATTATGAACGTAGTTCATCTCTGAGTTTTAGTCAGAGTGATTCACAACATAGTGTGTATTATTCTTATAAAAAAACTTTCTAAATTATTATAAATTTGATCTATGATTTGCATAAATTGTTTTACAGAAGATGATGTCAAACCGTGTCCAAGATGTCAAGTCCTTATTGTTAAAATGGACGATGGAAGTTGCAATCACATAATTTGTGCTGTTTGTAGTGCTGAATTTTGTTGGTTATGCATGAAAGAAATCAGTGACCTTCATTATTTAAGGTATATTGTAATTGATTCTAATACTTATTTAATAATATTGTATGTTTTTTAATTTTATGGATTTTAATTACAGTCCTTCTGGTTGTACCTTTTGGGGTAAAAAGCCATGGTCTAGGAAAAAGAAAATACTCTGGCAACTTGGAACTTTAGTGGGAGCACCAGTTGGAATTGGTCTTGCTGCTGGAATAGCTGTACCTGCTATGATTATAGGTTTGTAAATCAAACATAATATTTTTTATGTCTCATGTTGAACAGAGTTTCATTCCTTTTCTATATATAATATATCGTATAATACACAATATATTTTTTCCTACTATATATATGCCCTTTTTCTGAATGTATTATACATACATCTTTTTTCTGAATAGGTTTTTAATATTATAAACAAATTTTATATTGGTATATGTATATTTTATTGCAGGTATTCCAGTATGGGTAGGAAAGGAACTGTATACAAGATATGAAAAAGATAACAAACATAAGAGGAATGCTTTTATTGTTGGAGGAGTAACTGCATCCGTAAGTCAAAATCTTATTTTTAATATTTATATGAAATTGATTAAATTTTAAAATATTAGTTTTTCTACATTATTATATGTGTTAGATAAAGTAACAAGTATCTTCCGAAGTAGTATTGATATCATTTTAAAGATAGTTTATTTTAAATTATTTTTCCTAAAAAATCAAAATGTTGAAAAATATATCAACTAATTATATGTTTATTAACTAATAAGTATTTATTTGATCATAGGTATTATGTAGGAAGTATTTTTGTTTTAAAATTATTCTACAAGTTCATGACAACATCAAAGTATATTTTATTTATATAGTTTGTACAAAGAAATGGAATAATATAATTATTGCATATGTGAATTAGCAGTAACAGAATGTCGGTCGTATAGCCGTTGTAATAATTGCGGGAAGAAATTTTGTTAAAAGAACAAATTTAAATCAAACAATTGTTATATTTAATTAACTCGAAGAGAAAAGTGTTACTCCTAATTTAAGTTATTTTTGTGGCACATATCGTTAGCAATTCTCTTACATTTTAATCGGTTTTAATTTTAAAACTTCATATAACGTTTATTGATATTCTGTTTGCTTAACGTTCTTACTAGATTGTAAGTGTACATATTGCAAGAACAATCCAATGTTGAAATATTTTCAAACATAAGAGTCTAACATCAATTCTATTGTTATCATGTTAATGAATTTAACGTGACTTCGACTCTTTGAACTACCCGCAATTACATAATTATCAACACAAGCCTTTTTGCTTAAGGTGTTCATAATCTTAACGTCAGTAGTAGACGGATCGAGCTGTTGGATGATCACTTCAATAACTCTTGCTTCCTCGATTTACATTTAGCGTAGAGGTATTAATTCGTTGCAGCACTATCATGGGCGGTAATAACGCTGACTAAGGGTCGTTTTCGCTAGTGGCAATCGCAGTCTCGTCTGTAAGTACACCCTCACTATGAAGATCTTTTAGAACGTCGATTAAGCGTTGTTCGGTATCTGTATCGCCTAAAGCAACGTCTACGGATCCAATACAAAGTAGGAGTGCAAGAAGTTGCGATCGCCTGTAATCCTTATTTAAGTCTTCTCTTGTATAACCTAAATCCTTGGGAATATCGACACCAAGACGGGAGCACGTGTTAGTCAGTGTATCCCAATAAATATCAAGGAAGGTTTCCGTATGCTTTCGACGTAGTTCGGTTGGTAATGAACTCACTAACAAAAGAGCAATATCGTTAGTTGGTCTACTATAAGTGACCATTTGCCAGTCAAGAATGCAGCATTCGAAGCCAGAAGGTCCTTCTTTGAAAAGTAAATTATTGCACCAGAAGTCTGTATGCGTGATCAACGCTAGCGGTCCTTCTGGTGCAAGGAGTGCAGATATTATATGTTTAGTTCTAGGTCGTAGTACGAGTAGGGCCTCGAGTATCGCTTCTAATTCTGGCGTACTTTTCAAAAATTTGGCAAGTTGTGGCAAACCACGTTCGACCAGTTGTTGATACGAGTCTGTTGCCTTTGCTGTTTGGAAGAGGAATGGATAACGTTCAGACAGAGGCTCTCCTTCGATAACTTTCATTGCCAGAGAATGTGCGTGTATACGTGCTATAGCATCTAATGCAACTTTAGTTTGATCGTAGGTCATTCCTTCGTCAAATTTGATATTTCGAAAATCAGAGTCACGAAGATCGTGCAATACCAGAATCGAATCTGTTGTCAGAGGGTTATCGTCTGAGTCATCGACTGGTGTGTAACGTGCATAATAGCACACTGGAACTGACAGAACGATTTCGTTGTCCGATTTATTTTCTTGGGATGCTAGTTGCTTCTTTTGAAATTCTTTCAGGTCCGGCATAACCTGATATAAACAAAATCTTGGTTATCGTTTGTTGGAAAAAGTAATTTAACACCGATATAGCAACAGCATAGTGGCATATATTAATCGATTGCTTACCTGTGTATAAAATTTAATTTCTCGCAGATCGAACTGGCCTTCGATAACAAAGAAACGACTGAAGGGATCTTTTGGAAGCTCTTTCACGATAAGCGAGAGATCTTGAACAGTCTTTGTGTCGTCCAGCGTGTACTTGATTTTAGCGCGAGTTATAGCACTGAGCGCGCTTTCATTACTCATACAGCCCGGGCTTACGTTACATTCGGTTACCGTGACCTGTGTACATGACGGGTTAATTTGCAAGCGATTCAACAATACTCTGTACGCTACATCTCGTACACAGTGTGTTGCATTTTCATCGCTAACAAGCATTTATAGGTTGCTTAAATGATGTCCTACAAAAATTCCTACATACAACTGTTAACTGTAAATCATAGTTTCTACCGAACTAACCGATTCTTTGTGAAATTTCCGTAGGATATCCCTGAGCCACTCCTGGTAAATCTCTGCTTGTATGACAATCATCTTCGGCTCCTCTCCATAGGAAGATTCTTCCGTATCTTCCCAATCCCAATCGGTGTCATCCCAGTCCCATTTCGCCATGGTTTCCGGATTTATCTCTCTCTCTCCCCCCTCTTTCTCTCCCCCTCTCTCTCTTTCTCTTCTTCCTCCTCTTCCTCCCTTTTTCTCTTCCTCTTTCTATCTCTCTTTTCTTTATTTATTCAATTAGCACTAATGACAGTTAACTAACGATACCAATATCGACGATGTCGACTAAAGAAAGACGAGGAAAAGAAACAGATGAGAGAATACGTATCTTGTGCTTATGACGTTTCGCGTGTCTACTGTCCCCAATCAATGCTAATAAACCACATGCACACTCCCCTGAACGATGACACATGCAGAATGTGTTTATTTGACTGTTCACATCTGAGCGCACGAGCCTGTCGTGTATGTAGAGAGGCTTCGTGAAATCAGCAGTAATGAATGGAATCGTCGCGTGTCCCTTTTACTTCCTGTTACGCCGACCGGTGCTTGAACGTTCGGGCCGGCGTAGTTCGGCGTCCTCTCATCGGGGCTCGCAGTGTCCACAGCACGACACACCCTTGGCGCAGAGCACCAACCGACTTCCCGATCCCGACGCTCTATTTGTCGGACCGTTTGTGATCGTAGCGCAGTGTGGATCTTAAAGTACCGACTGACACGATGCACGTTCCATCGTCAGCCACCTAGGTGGATGCAGGCCGCAGGGTGGGACAGAGAGGATCTCCCATGCGCGCACTCCTACTGTCGATCAATATCCTTCCTTCCGCACCTCCCGCACCTTCTGCTCACCATGCACTTTCTCTGTCTCCTGTTTCGCTGCCTCACGTTCCTTTCCACGCTCGATGGAAATCTAGAAAACAGATCGCCGTGCGCTAGTAATCTCTCGGCTCATCATCGCACGTTACACGACTGGCCGAGATATATTTATTTCACCGTGATGATGCTCTCCCTTCGACTTGTAACCTTCGTTCCTTTTACGGAACGTTGAAGGTTGATCGAAAAGTACCGCTTTTTCAAGACCATACGTGTATTAATTGTTAAAAAAAAAAGAAATAAATAAGTCGAGTAAATATAACATTGTAACTAAGAGGTTAGGATTTTAAACGATTCAAAATGATCAATTGCATACATACGTATATCATTAATGATTAATATAGAAACCTTTAATTTTTTCAGTTTTTCTTATTTTTTTCATTTTTTTTTTTGCAATTTGAAGCTTTATATTAAATAATAAAATTATATTAGAATATAGGATTACATGAAATGTTAAATTACCTTGGGAATAGTTTATTCTTCTCTTGTTCTAATTTGATTAAAGTAGTAAAATGTATTTTGATTTCTTTTTTTTACGAAAGCGTTTAAATATCAGATTTGTATAAACTATTTTGTAATTTTGTTTTACATTTTTTTTATTTTTTATACATAATTAGTTTAATTGATTCTATTCGTAAAATGAAATTTCAAATAAATAGTATGTAAATAGAGGTATCTGCAATTAAGATTACACATCTTCACATTGGCGATTTATGTTCCTTTGTACTTTCGCAAGCATAAATTGAAAGCGTTTTTACATTTTTACGAGGCACGGCTAAAACATTCTCGCAATTGCTATCTTTTTTTTGAAAAGGATGTTTCACAAAGGAAAACGCACAATTCTAATTTATGCAGCGTACATTGACAAACTTCCGGGGGAATTTAAAACTACACAATGGATCAAGTATAGTTGAAAGTTTACAATATAATTTGTAGTTTCAAATTGTTGTTGACTGATACTTAATTACAATTGCGTCGTGTTTCAATGGAACGTATCTTTTGTCTGTGTTCACATATCAATAATTATACATTTTTTTTTTTTTTTTAAATTTATACTTTTGTAGATTTAATAAAAATTTCAACAAAAATTACTGTTCATAATTTATTTATCATTGTTACAGGTCTTGGTATCGCCCATATTAGCAGGCTTAGCCGTTGGTATTGGTGTACCCATTTTATTATTTTATGTTTATGGCGTAGTTCCTGTGTCCCTTTGTCGAAGCGGAGGTTGTGGCGTTTCTACGAATGGTACGGGGGTGAGATTTGATTTCGATGACGAAAATGAGCTTATGGGTTCTCTGAGCGCCCGAAATGGTGGAGGTAAATGGATGTATATAATTTAGATTTCGACATATCGCACTCGAAGCTTCAAACGTATAAATATAGTAATTAAATTAAATATAGTAATGTAGGGGATTAAATATAATTAAAAGCATAATGCTTATTGTAGATGCAGCATCGATAGATGTTGCAAGTCATCGAGGTGGTAACCCTTCGATTGGAGAAGTTTCACTTTCGTTAGGTAGTGGGAGTCAGTTGGAAAAATTAGGTCGTGAAAACGATCGCGAGAGTGCCAGTAATGTAGCTGTTGCTGGTACCAGCCTCGCAGGAAGTATAGCTTCTAGTGTTCTTCCGGGAGGTCAGAGGTAAGAGATACTTCTCGTATTTTATATAATTTGTAATTATCGAAAAATTACTTATACAATTGCTATATTTAAAAATAGATTGGAAGTTCAAGCAGATGTAACGCCCACTCAACGATTCAGTTTATGTAGCGAAACAGCATCGGCTGCAACCAGTTTATCAGAGAAATCTGTAAACGCATCTATTGCTTTGGATGATGGCGCAGCTTCTACGAGAGCTCTAGCAGGCTCTGTTTTAAATTTTAAAGTATCTTACTTCTTTATAAATATTATCATAATTAATCTCTACCATTTTTTTCATCAATTTGGATAATATCGATTCTTCAGATGGATGGAAGTTCGATTAGTGGCGGCAGAAGTACCGAAGGAGAACAAGGAACAGGCTCTGTTGCAGGAGGTCACATGGACTCAGCAGGTCAAGCTACTTCTTTGAGTTCCCTTGAAGAAGTAGCACCTGGTTTAGCGAAACGTGCTCGTCGCAAGCCGACGTTAGATCGTCAATGCAGTGATTGCAGTAATTGGACCGTCTGTGGTGAGGACGAAGGTTCTGAACGTGTTAGATTCGATGACCATGTTAGTTTTATCGAAGCAGATCAAGAAGGGGTTGTTAACACGTGCGGAGTGAATAGCCGAACTTCTGGAAGACGTAAACGCAATACAGAGACAGAACAAGATACAAATGCTCAAAAGAGTACAAAAGTATGAAAAAGTTCAGCTATTTTAAAAATTAATCCACTATTTGTTGATGCTTTTAATAACTGTGCATATCAGAGTTAAATATTCAATCACATATAAACTATCATTTTAAAACTTGAGTTTAAAATGAAATTATATTCATTGTGCGATTTAAATTGACTACATTTTAGTTATTTATTAGATTAGAAAATTGACAGTTATATCGTATAGTTTTATATCTATCATATTCGTTTATTTTTTCAGAAATTCTAATGGTGAATGAAAGGTTGATTCGGCATAATGTATCATGGAAATGAGTCAATGTTGCCACATTGAGAAATGTCTTCTTCCACAGTTCTACAGCATCTACGGATCTCGCAAAGCGATTTTCGGTGATAGAAGAACCGTTTCCTGTAGTAGTACAGAATAACGGTGCTCGTTTTTTTACACCTTTCAATAAAGGATGTAGCATTAATAATGCGGAAGAAGATTTACGCTCTTAAAGGAACAAAGACTAAGCATTTATGTAATAATGTACATGCGTCCTTTAAATATGAGACACGTAGATGCGAATTCACATATGTGTGTATATATGTATTTAAATGTACACTCCATGCGTACTGAATTTACATTAATTTACATTAATGCTGAATTTACTATATTTATGCACACCGTGTCTAATGCATTATGAATGCAATATAGGGAACAAATTAATACTAACTTTGCAAAGCAAAGTACATCGAAATAAATAGTATTTGCATTCATATTTCAAAAATGCGTGCGTATAAATATACATATAATGTACGTATGTGTGTATAAGTGTATATACTCACAGGCCTCAAATTTGTTATAAAAAAGTTGCAAATTAATTTAACATGGATAATTTTCATTTTGTGCCAATATTTTGTTGAGCAAAGCTGAATATTGTTATGCGTCAAAAATTATGTTCTCATACACAAAACACAGCGCTCACAAATGTAAAATATTAAATTCGTTAAAATTTTTCTATGATGACGCTCCGCATAAGAATAAAAATTTTGTCGTAACATGAAATAGAATAACTGTGTGAAACATTATAGAAAAATTATAAACGCTTTATACAGTTGCATTTTACATCAAATAACAATTATTATTTTCTATGCATGATACACTTGTCTATTCGTCAGTCATATTTCCAGATGTACAAGTATCGTAAGAACCTTTGTACATGAACATTTTCTAAATGTTGTCCCTTGATGTATGAAAATATACATAGTGTATTGTATGTATCTGAAGGCAATGAATAAGCCTTGAAACTAAACGTTACAGTGTTTTAGGAGAAGAAATTAACATTATTATAAAAACGAAATGGTAGTTTACTACCTTTAGTTTATATTTATTTATTATTAATCCCAGTGATTTATACGTAATAATTTCAGGTGCTTTATTAGGCATGACAAAAGCTTTGATTTGATTTTCTTGCCGATGTATTCACATTTATGTAACGCTGAACATAAATTACTAACGAACAGAATAAGAAGCATTGTGATCATGTTTTAACAATTTTACATTTCATAAATCTTTTCTTGGTTTCAAGATTTTAAGAATTTAAATGTGTATGTAATTGTGTAAAATTATTGTCTCAATATATGTTTCTTGTTTGTAAGTAATAACTTTGTTAATATTTGGATAAGCTAATGTCATACATCTGAATGAAAATAATTATATGAAATACGTAACACGTAAAAAAAGAGGTGGATACATGGACCCAGAAAACCGAATTCTGAAATATGACATAAGCTGCCATACAATCTTTATACATAAAGTAAGAATAGATGTTTTAGTTAAATAAGGCATGTTCTGAAAGTGTGCTCTAGAGCAAGTAGTACACGGTATGAAATATATAAAAAAGATGGCAAATTTAATGTAGGAACATTTTTAAAAGTATGCATTTTTACAAATCGTTTAAATATATAAATTAAGAAACTATGTTTCATTAATACAAAAAGCGGTGCAATTTTAATTCATTAATGACTTAGAAGAAACCACAAAAAATAAACTTATACTTTTACAAATATTCATTTCTTCAAATTCATTTAGTCACTGTACATTTTGTATGAAGATCACATTTTCATGTATTAAAAAAATGTATTGTTTAAACAGTTGTTTCTTTTATGATAATTGTAAATTCATAAATATAACAAAATGTAATGTACGGTGTATATTCATTTAAATTATAAGACTATTCTTACTAGTGTGTAATTTTTGTTTAGTTTTTTGTACTTCCATTAATGCTTAATAACTAGTACTTAATAATAAATAATTGCATGTATTATGAGATTAAATTTGGAAAACCAAATATCTTTTTTTTTATTATCCTAGTTTTAGTATATATTATATTTGTAACTATAATATTAAACTATATAGATCTACCTAAAAACAACGGGGATTTTTTAAATAGTTCATCAACTTTTAGTTTAAATAATTCACTTTGAATAGGTTCGTTTAATTGACACAGAGGATTTTTCACAACATATTCTAAATAAACCTGCAACAATATCGGATATATTATTATAGATTTATTTATATTTAATAGAGAAAGTTGTATCACTATAACGAATATAAAATATTTAATATTTATTTACTTACTTCTTTATACAATTGTTGTAATAATTCTCTAGCATTTTGCGTAATATTATCAGTATTTAACACAAATTTTAATCCAGATGGAGTTTCCAAATAATGTAACGTATACTTGGTTGTCTTGTAATACAAAAATCCTTCTTTTGGATCCAATGGAGATATTTTACTTACAAAGGATTTTATAGAAAATAACATTCCATACATTAATTTTGCTTCCTAAATTTTATATAATTTTATGATATAAGCTTTTTAGAAAGAAAAAAATTATATATGGATGTAATAAAAAACAGTATAAAACAAACAATTGTCGACGATTTTTATCTGATAGTTTACAAGGCATTTAAATTTAAAAAGGTTAGAAATCACATACATCTAATAACGTTAAATTAATAATTCTATATTAGTTATTCATACCTCTCCTTTCGTAATTCCAGATTTGTGTAATCTATTCCATTCTGCATAATATAGTAATGTTCCATTTTTGGAAAATATGTATAAATTGTGAATTGTCATAATACTATCAGTTTTCTCTCTTATTTTGTTGTCAAAGTGATTAAACTCAATCGATTATTTATCGACAATTGTGTAGTGTCAAATATTTCTTACAAATGCCTAAAGGTGGCTCACCATTACATTTATTAATAGTATCCTAATTTAACAACATAAGTTTCTTATGTTACCGATATAATTGAAAATAAAAAGATCAGAAGATAATTTTCGTTCGATTTCTGGAAACATTTCATTTTTGGGAACTAAAATATACTAACCAATGATGTTTAATTTATAGGACTTATTATTTTATTCTTCCGTGTAATTAAATATACAAAATAAACTTCTAACAGTATAGTAACTTTTTCTTTATTTACCAGTACTTGGGAAGTATGTTTTATCTTGTAAACTGAATTAGAATATATTTATTTACTTATAATTTTCAAATGTGGTAACATAGACCTGTGACAATAATATAAATATATTAAGAGCAAAAGAAATTTCTTGGAAAGTAATGAATGCTATACTAGCTTTCCATATAGAATTACTTTTTCTCCAAATGTTTTCAAACTGTACACATAATTTAAGAAATAATTTATATAAAACATTTGACACAGTAATTGGTGGATCAAATAAATGATACAATGTCATTGTAAGTTTGCATCAGCAATGATATACGTTTTGATACATTTATATTTATAGTTCTATTTCCCTATTAGAAATTAGAAATTTACGGGATGCATACAAAAGTGAAAATATAAATTTATTGAATTACATAGATGTTGTATTATTCGTATATAAAGTTTTAAACAGGATTGTTATCAAGCACAACGATTATAAGAACGCTTGATTTATTATAAACTTTGTTTTATATTACAAAAAAGTATTCTTTGGTATAGCCTTTATAATTCTCCTTTCATTTAGATAGGTATCACTAGAGCGTCAAGATGTCGCCACCAGATCATTGATAATACAGGTGATTAACATTGTGACAATTTTACAGCTATTTTCCTTACCGATAGGCGACACCTAGTCACCTCAGTACAAAAGAATAATCACTTTGCCAAAGAAAAGATTTACAGTGAGAACTTTTAAAACTACTTTTATTTTTCCAATCCGATATTGATGCAATAAAATTGAGGTTTTGTAGCAATCCTTACAGTGATTTTGAGAGTCTGTCATTACATCGATATAAGAATAGTTATAACACTTGCCAACAGCCGTAACTATTTCGTGTTTGAAATTTATTTTCTTACATTATATAAATCTCGTTACAAATATTGCAGAAAAAATCCTAAAATTATTAAATAAAACTATAGGAAGTCAGAGTATTATATTTTTAGAATAAAAATAAGTTTTAATCTATGAAAAATCTTATTGCTATTAGACTATGCAATTAGTAAAATAATGAAGTGTCATGGAATTCTGTAAAACTGAATCATAATACTTGTAAATAGAATGCAAGGAATCAGACAAGGTACAGATAATAGCTACACAAGCAACCATATACGTATCTAAGTACTGTGTAGCTGTAAGCTTGACATCGTTTGGAAAAGATTCCCTTTTTTTGGAGAATTTTTGGAATTTTTGATAAAATTTATTTAGAAAAGTTTATGAGTTCTCTAGATTCACCGCTGTCGAATTTATTTTCTGCTGTTACTGTACACTACCCCCACTACTGGTCTACTAGTTCCCCCACCCAGGGCTGAAGATTCTACTGCTTGCCGTTGTTCCATTACCCCCCACCATTATTCTAGCGCCCTCCCTTCGCCGTTAGCACAAGAGTTAAGTGGATGTGGTGGGAGTAATAAGGTGATGGGAGAAGAAACAGTACGTGGCCTGCGGGCTACGAGTTCGACAGTTCTGTTTTAGATAAACCTTCATTAAACTAAGGCAATTATTAGGCATTACCACACGAAGGTGTCTACGCAATCGAGATCCTGAATCGTAGGTCTAAAACCAAATACTTCCACTGCATGTATCTTGGCATTCAAGCTGTTGCCAACGAGAACACCAAGTTCTAAGTTTAATTAGCCTGTAGGGGTGCGTAAAGAGAGATAGACAGCGAAACGCCGATCTTCCTATAATGGGTCTCTACAAAGGAGTCTTATATATGGGTGTAGTGGCGCTACTGTCGATCGTGTGTTGTGCTTCCACGAGAAGAAGGCACAGCGTGTTTACATCCCCACTCTTGTTGCAGTCTGTTTAAAAAATAAAAAATTTTATAAGCATATTTGTTATTTATGTACACTGGGTAGATATAATATTATTACGTTTTATTACAATTTCTTTACATGTAAATCGTGAACATTTGGCATATTTCATACTATATTTATTACCGTTACCTAAACATATATGAGCCGTTCACTGCACAAATCGATTAACTCCACTTTTTGAAAAATCTTAAATTTAAGTTTCAAAGCACTTGGTATAGTCATAACTTTTTATATTTATAATAACGTTCCCTGATAATTAAGATTAACACCACTAAACGACAAAAATTTGTTGGCCTCTGAATAATAAATAATTTATTTCAGAGGTCACTTTGATTAACTCCGTACTCTAATGTAAATCGTTGCAATGATGCAACTCAAATGCACTAGCAAGCCATAAATGATAACGGTGAATTTTTTAGTGCCGTCTTATCAGAATTTAAGTAAAATTTAGTCAAATTTAAATTTATTACTTTTTTCACTTGTCAAATCGATTAACTCTTCCAGTAACATAAAAATGATAACATTACTAACGATTACCTTTTGGCTATTTTTTCTTATAAATTTTATATACCGTCAGATGAAAGTTACATTTGTATTTATGCATTCTACGATATTTATTTCGATTTAAATTATAAAGGGAATTTTGAAAAACAATATACATTATTTCATTGCATTTCTCCACTTCTTGTTTTATGTAGTTAATCAGTTTGTACAGTGAACGGCTCATATAACACCTGGACCTCTTTCGCGATTCATTCGGTGATGATTCTTTTTGTTTATTGAGTTTTCTGCCCGTAGCTTCGGTGGCTAAGACAATATGCTTCGTATTACGATAATTCATAAAGTAATTCATAAAATGAAGACATATTTACCCGATCTATTCTTTTCGCTGTCCCACTGAATACTGCTAGCTGAACACGTTGGAACTCTCCACTCAGTCAGTTGTTTATGTTACATCGATAAGAGTAGGACCTGCAGACGTTGCCCCCTTCCCTCGCTACACTCAAATTTCAGGCCAAACGTCAGTACTAATATACGCAGCTTCGTCACAGTAGATAAAGAAGCAGGGTCTGTAGAGACCCCGTTACCATTGCGCGAGGGCTAAGCGAAAATGATGCAGGAAAGGTTGGAGTGAGCAATAGGGCGATAAGGAAGAGTAAGGGATAAAAGGGAAAGTTAGCTGATTTGAAGTTTGTGATAAATACGAATAGTTGACTAAACAGTCATCTAACATTGGCTACGTTTTAATATACCACTGATTTTTGTACGATCGGTATTTCAGATCGCAGAATATGACATCGCGTAAAGCGAGAGGTGCATCTCCTCGTCTCTGTTCGATCGATCTCGTCGAAATAGTGGTAATAAAGATCGGTAACAGCGCCAGCTAGAAGTAACGATCGGAAGGTAGAACAGTAGCGCTAGCGTCGAACTGTTTTTATTTAATTATTGACCGACGCGACTGTTTCGTTTGGAAAGTAGGGACTCGAATTACCGTGCGAAACTATTGCAGGGTATAAAATGTATTTGTGGCCGAAGCTTGGGCGCGATTATCGTTTCGAGCACTTTTGTTAACACATAACTGTATCGTGGCAGACGAGTATCGAGCTCAGCGCGTAAACCGTCGCTTTTCGATCGGACTCCTTCGACGCCATTTGGTTTTTCGTCGTTAAAGTAGAGCCAATAGGAAGCTAAAGTCGATCAGGCCCGTGAAAAGCTTCACTGTGAAATTATGTAATACTCGCGCGAACGACACTATGCAAATAAATACGGTGTATACGCGGTGCAGAAATGTATGGCGGAAAATAAATTCAAATGGCGGACACGTCAGTGGAAGGATAGCAAATTATAGATGATATACTCCGTGCAGTACACACAGCGTTGCTGCAAGTGTTGCATGCAAGTTATAAGCGAAGATACCATCAGCTGTGTTTGTGAAATTGAAATGAAATGAACTTGAATGAACGAGCGAAAAATAAGTAATTAATATTGTAATATCTGTTATTTATTGTTTCTATTAGCTGTCAATCATATTTTTTTTCGTTTTTATTTTTTTTTTTATTAATGAATAAGTTAATGTATAATTTATCATGTGAGCATTTGGTACATATCTTTACATTATTGTTAGACTTTCGTGCATAGTTTGTTTCTGTCTAACGATAAGTAATTCGCAGGCCGAAGTGATTAATTGCACTTTTTGAATTTTTTGAAAAATTTCAGTGCCAAGACATTTGATTGATAGTTATTTAAAAAAAAATTTGTTTAAACGATTTAAAACCAGTTATTTTTACTCTTTCGGCAGTCCTAGCGTTAAGTCAAATTTTTCGATATACACATGTTAGATGCAACGTATCGGTTTACGTGTTTATACACCTTTGACAGTGGAAAAACAATCGACAGCGTGCGACGATAAAAATATCGCGGCATAAAACGAACGATCGCATCGTCGGTGACTGGAATGATTCGATAACAATGACCTAGGCTGTAAATCAAACGGAACGCAGGCAGTGCGCGTTGAACCGGTTGTTTCGAGTGCATCATGCGCTTCGAGCTTGCTGCACACAAGTCTACGCATTCGCGTAATATAATCAGCCGTTGGCCAAACGTTTGAAACAGCGAGCTGAAAATGGTACAAAGCTGTAGATAGCCGAAGCAGCAGGGACTATACTCCTGACCCTGATAAAAGCTTACCAAGTTTGTCCAATGGCGTCCCTTTGGGTGACCACTTCTCTGTCAGCTATGATTATTCCGGTCGGTACACGCGACTCCGTCTAGACCGACAGGATTTCATCGATTTAATGGTCGATTTATCGGTGACTGTTCGTCATCGT